TCCCTCGAGCCAAGTGTCATTCGAGTTATTTTCCGAGGGAAAAGCGTCGACAAAAGGAACGAGAGCTATTCATCCCCTTGTCACAGGAGGTTACAGGATCCGGGCCAGACTCTTGAGCCCAATGGCGCAGGATCTAACGTCGTTAGACGATGGACAAAGAAGGAGAGACGAGACGCGAACAACGGCTTGTCAATTTTTTATTTGCGAATCTTCGATCGGTAAAGCGAGAGAGAGAGAGAGAGAGAGAGAGAGAGAGAGAGAGAGAGAGAGAGAGAGAGAGAGAGAGGGGGAGAGGGGAGCATACTCGCGACTGCTGGATATCGTTTCGCGGTTGGATGAGGACAATAATAATTGCAGTTTATGACTGGACGCGCCAATGAGTCCGCTCCCACTCGGATCCTGCGAATTAACGAAACTCCCACGCGCGTTCTTGCTTGGCGTATAGACCGTCTTTCGTATCAAGTTTATGAATCGCGCGAGCAACGTGTACGTGTAGGAATTCAGAGTGCTCTCTTCCTCGTCTCGCTATGATTGACGCTATGGTGTATTAATAGGTAGTACTCGACAGATTCTCATGTCATAGAAACACCGATCGAAATTTTTCTTACATAGCGAATCGATATTTTTCTGAAATTTATCGCATCGCATCGACGTAACACAACAGTTGAACATATGAATACTTATTTTCCGCAACAGTCCAGAGACTGTTGAGATGTTTCATGTTTAAAATTAATTGAAATGTCGATATTTATATATTAATACTAGTCGCGAGAACTAGTCGCGATTAGTATGCTATTCCATGATGTCGCGGCGTGTGCACGGTATGGGTGCGGTTAGTCCGAGAGTACAAATTAACTAATGGAAATATATGCATCGCGTGATCGAGTGCGTTAAAGTGTGGAAAGAAGAAGAAAGAGAAGACCGATACGCGCCTGAATTACCAATCAGATGTCGGACGGATCCGCGGACGGATCAACTATACTGTATTCAAATTTGGGAATGTGAGGAAATGGTTATACGAGAAATTACTGTAAATATATTGATACAACGTTGGCTCATGACGTTTAACAAAATGACGTGTTTGTTTTTGAAACCGACGAAAACCTCCTTCTCTTTCGAAACAAAGCTTTCGAAATTTCCAACATCTTCGACGAAAATGCTAATATGTAATTCGAAAGACTAGCGAGTCAGGTGTCAGGCAAGAAGCAAAAAGAGACGAGAGAGAGAGAGAGAGAGAGAGAGAGAGAGAGAGAGAGAGGTCGTGCATCGTGTAGTTTAATCGCAAGAATATGCGCGTTGGTCGGGAATATCGCGAGAAAAACGCCGTCAAGTGTTAGAATTGTTAATGGGATATACCTACGTATATACATGAGATATCTGGGCCAGCGATATATTCCCGTTGTGCCCGGCCCGCTTGCAACGATCACGGACGATCTCTGTTTCTAATTATGTTACGAGGTTCGCCTCTTGCCTATTATCTGGATCGAGAAACGCTTCTGCGCTGCGGATGGCTGAGATGTTGTAAATCGAGATGTTGTAAATAATAGATTAGAAGCTTCGTGCTGCGTCATTTTAGTTTCTTTCCTTCTACTATAACAATATATATACGAAGATTCAATTGTTATCAAATAATTGAAATTCCTACACAAAGTGCGGAGGACAACAATGAGTTCCACAAGAGTGATTCGAGGGATTTTTCTTCGCGAGGCGACGTATCGATCTCGTAGCCGTAACTCGGCTACGGTTAGGTGAGGTTGTAAATCTTGGGCGTTCGGGTCCTCGCATAGAGCGAGGACAAATCGCACGGCTCGTATTGTCGACGATCCCCTGCTCCGCGCTTCTTTCTTCCGACACAATATCTCGCCACGGTAAGGGACCAACGGTCGCGATCTTTCCACGCAACTGCTTTCTTGGTCGCTTGCTATCGGAATTCGGCTGGTTAATCGCTTTCGTAAATTTCCGACGGCTATTGTGTCCGAGGAGCAAACTCAAGTTGTCGATAAGACGGTAATTCCACGATGAAGATCGCAGCAGCCTTCACGGCTGCTGAAGGTACATCTTCAGCCGATCGTATTTTATCGTCGACTTTTGGCGATAGAATTTCATCTCTTTGCAAACTGAATGTATACACTGAGTAAAGCGATATTTTTCGCTCGCTTCTTGAAATTTTGCCACTTCTTAGTAGCAGTAGTAGAGTCAATTGAACGTCGACGACTAACCAACGACGACGAGGAAGAGAGCAGTATCGGTAGCACACGCTAGTCGGAAAGTCTAGCCGGTTTGCTTTCCTATTTCCATCGATTATCCTTTTCTTCCTTTCTTTTTTCTTTTTTTCTTTCTTTTACGAGATGCATCATTTATCGTTGTTTGCACTTTTGCCGCTAGCCAAGTCTTTTACCAAGCAACATTTCCCGTTGATGAATAATAACTATATACGGTGACGATGTTTAAGTAAGATTTCTTCGATCGACGTGGTTCGAAAAAGAGTGATGCGTGTACGGAGAAGGAAAGAAGACGGCGGGGGCTTACAACGACGACGACGACGACGACGACGACGACGACGACGACGACGACGGCGGCGGCGTACGCGGCGGGAATGCACGATGAAACAGCGAGCTAAACGACGCGCAAAAATCCACGACTGCTAGGAACGACGAGCTCCCTCTATTTCTACCATATACGTACACACGTGCGTCAACGAGTCCTCCACGAAACTCCCTTCTTACAAGCGCATCATTGAGATACACTTTGATGCGACAGACTACAGAATTGAGAAAAATGACGACAAGTCATGTTTATTATTTTTCATTTGGAACGATGTCTTCTCTCACTCGGTTAGGTTAGGTGAGCCGATGCTAATTGCTAATGATCGGTGAATTCGAACAGTCGCGGATTAAAACAAACAACGTACGGCAACGTATCAACGGATCGATTTGCCCTCATTTCGAATCAAATGAAATCAAGTGAGAGACTATATTATATTATAATAATCGGTTGCGATTATAATGCGAAGAGAAGGCGATCTTGCGTGTAAATTTCAATTTTCATAGCAATCAATTTCATCGCGGATAGACATCCTCGCAACTGAACATCGCAAAGAGGTTACCGTGTTGTAAGGGGGCACGCGAGAGAAATGTGGCATACTTAGAGAGAATCTCGCGATATCCAGCGAGATGAAGGCGATCCGGCATCTAGTGTAACGCGAAATCTCGCTCTGAGAATCCGAATCTTTCCGAAGCCGTTTGTGCTCATTTTTCGTTTCCAAATATATTACATCTAGATAGACTTCTCGATTTCTCGACTTTTCGAGATTCGAAAGAAAGCACGCTCGCAAACAATTTGTTGTTGTTGTTGTTAATTGTTTGAACATTTTCAGATCGATTTAATGCAATACGATCGCATTAGATCGCCGCGGTTATGCCGCGGAAAATCGTTACTATTGATAAGCTATTCGGCGGGCAAAAGCTATTTGTAAAGTGAGATAAAACTGTCTTACGTTCTTACGTTCCTTCCTGATAAGAATTGTCAACTACTTAAGTTGCAAGCTTGCAACGTAAATACAAAGATTGCATAAGAGTTACATAAAAGCAACTCTTCACGGCAACATGAGCGCCGATCGAACGTCTTTTTTTTTTTTTTCTCTTCTTTCTTGTTGAAACGACAATCGGTCTAACGGTTTGGGTAAAAATGCGCGTACGCATTGGTGCACCAGATAACTGCGATAACACGCGATAACGTATCAGAAGGTATGAACTCCCCGAAAGGATATTATTTCTCGATGAATCATATGCAACCGTAATATCTGTATGGATTCAAACCAACGATTCCGATCCGATTATTCTTTCGCTCACAATCCGCTCCATCGGCGACTGAAATACTGCACGATCCAATGATTTTACAAACTGTATCAATCGAGAACAAAACACTGACACTGATGCAGCGCGATCGATTCGGAGGGCGGAAAGTAACCGCGCACATAAAACATCGAACGCACTGCGCGTCTCGACGCGCGCGGACTGAGCGCGCAAAACGATCTACGTACGCGAGAGGATCTACGGGGCCCGAGAGCCCCGAGCGACGCTCGATCTTATTGGTCGGTGCGCGCGCGGTTACCTCCGCGTGCTTCCGCAGCCATTCGACTGCGTGCTGAGCAGCGCGCTCATTTTCAAGCAGCGACTTTCCTCCTCGGCGTTCTCTACGCCGAGGCAGACGAAAAGAAAAGGAAAAGAAGGAAAGAAAGAAAGATAGATATTCAGCGGTCTCTCTCTCTCTCTCTCTCTCTCTCTCTCTCTCTTTTCCGCAGTGTACGGTGTAACATATCTTCGGATCGAAAGTGTTTCCAATATTTTCCCGAAATTTCAAAGCTCCGACGAAATGTATTTGTCAAGCGTCCTTGCGTCCAAGCGGACGCGCAAATCGTCGAGAGTACTCAAAGTACTCTCGACAAAATACATACGTACCTTCGCACCGTTTCGGACGTATGTGCTGCCTGCGATGCACTCGATATTTTTCATACGAAATGTTATTTTCGTTTCAGTCTGCGCGCAAAATGCGCGCTCTCGGGAGGGAATCGAGAGGAAAGGATCCATACGCGCGCCGCGCATGGATCGACGTAACAACAAGGGTTCCGGGGGATTAAAATCAGATCCGGTCAGAGACCCGGTCCTGGATCGCTGTTTCGCTAATTGTCAATTAATTACGACTGATTGTCCATTGCGACAATTTGTTCCGCTTCCGTATCAAAGTTAAGTCGGTGTGTCTCGGCAGCAGCCACGACAGATCCAGCCGCTTATTTCAATCAATCGTTATTATTAACAATCGTAATTGGCAAATTGTCATTTAGGCTGCGAATGCGCGAATCGCGAGAGTCGCGGCGAGCTCAAGCGCTCGCAAGTGTTCGCAGTTAAAACGCGGCGGATTGAGCCAAGTTACACGACACAGCGGACACAGCTGCGGACGCGAGTGGCGTGAGAGATGCGAATATGCGTTTGTGTACTCACGTTTGTGGAGAGCTGACTGGTCAGTGAGTGCACCTTCTCCTGAGCATCCAGCAATTCGCGTCGCAATTTCCTCAACTCGTGCGCCTGCTTCTCCTCAGCCGAGCTGTAAAGGCTGCTCGCCGTCGACACCAGCGATACCGAGGATCCGTGAACTGAAGAAGCAACAGAGGATAGGAGAGGAAGGGCAGGCGTTGTTAACGTTTGTTTCATACCGAAGAATTCTCTGCGATCAATTCCAACATCTAATGGATGTATCTCGCGGGTCGCGGGTCGATTTGTCGACGATTCGTACCGACGGAAAGTACTTTTCTTTTGGAAATGATTTTGTCACTTTGTGACAAAATGGCCAACGATCAAAGATCGCCCGATGTAAGATCAGTGTAAGACAAATGCATCGATACGAACGTATGATGCTCATCGACACTCACTGTCGTCGTCCTTGTGCACATGCTGGTACAGGTTCGGTGGTTGGCGCGAGGTGTGCGTGGGCGTCGGTGACGTCGGCTGGGACCAGTGTTGGCCCGTGCAGCCCGCCGATCCCACGGGAACGCTGTAATACGGCTCTACACCGACCCCCATGCCGATTCCAACCCCGACCTCCTCGCCCACCGACGACGAGGCACCGCTTCCTCGCGCGAGCATCGACGGATACATCTTTTCGCTCTTGGTCGATCTGCGAAAACACAAGCGCAGTCCTCTAGTGGATCCCCCACGTGGCGTTTCCACGTTATACTCTCTCTCTCTCTCTCTCTCTCTCTCTCTCTCTCTCTCTCTCTCTCTTCAAGCCGGGAATTATCCGCGAAAGAAAGGTCGTCTTTCGACCAGGGGTGCTCGCTCTGATGCCGAATAGACAGAGAGAAGTGCCTCGAAACGATAACGACTCGAATGTCGAGACCAAAGAGATATCACGTTTTCACAAGAGTTTACAAATTTCTTCGCGTGGAAAATACTTTGTAGCAAGAGAGAACGAACAAATGACGTCGCTCGTCTCTCGAGGGGCCTAACATTCTTATTTGTTCTCATCTCAGCAGCTTCATCGCAAACTAGATCAGTACATCCCAAAACGTTGCGTGATACATTTCTAACGATGACAGACAACTAACTGACAGAATGAATGAATACACAACGAGAATGCCTCTCGCCTGATTGGTTGGCCTGGAATATCGATGAAGCATCGTGCATGCAGCTGTACAAACAACATGATCGAACGACAAACTTGGAACACAATAGGCAACGTCAAATCTGTACGAATAACACGATTAGCACGATATGTATTGGCTTGTTCGGAATACGTCCATAGCGATTTTCTTTAGACATTGATAATTTGGCAGACCCGGCATGTACGCGATTGTAACTATTCGTCCCTATATATATATATATATCCTTATATATTTATATATATATCCTTATATATATATATATCCTTATATATATATATATATATATCCCCTATTTATTATATTTCCTACGCTTGGCTCTAGTTAGCGTTTCGATCCTTGCTAAATTCTGTTAAACACGATGATAACGATACCGTCGATACGTATAGAATTTTGAAAAAGCAAAATCCAGTCAATTATTTAGTCTAGAGCGATAAGACAAGATTTTGAAACGATAGAGTTTCTTAAACAATTGAGATAGAATAGATTATAGCTAAATATATAAATGTTGCCAATAAATCTTTTGTAAAAAAAAATCACTACAAACTTTCCGAAAAATCCAATACATGATAGTTTTAGTCGCATAACGCGTGAAATACACTCGGTGAATACGTGTGAGTGATTGCGTGAGTTAATCATCGGGATTTATAGGAGAGAATCCGAGGATCCACAGATTTCATGTATCAAGATTCCAAGATCCGCAATTGGCATCGACTTGCAGAATTTCAAGATTTCGGTATTTTTACTTTCAAAATCCAAGATTCAACGATGGTGAAGAATCTCGGGAGAAATTTTTGAATCCAAGGAATTTCAGAATCAACAGAGACTCGCGAATATGTGCGAGGTCGACTCTCGAGTGTGTACATATAGGTGTGTGTGTGTGTGTGTGTGTGTGTGTGTGTGCGTACGCGACGACTCTACTGATCACGTCTTTTGAATACTTATGCGTGGAAAATGAGCTCGTTGTCGTGTGTACGCTAGACACTTTCGCACTACCTTGGGAATGTCCTGTCCCGCAGATAGCTAAAATGGTTAATTGTCCTATGTTATTTCACGGTATTTTGGATCGTTTATAAACGTAAAAGTGAGTCAGAGAGAAACGAGACAGCCGGAAAGAGAGAAAATTGTGCTCGTTGATCGAAGGGTTTTGATACATGGTGACCAAAACGTTCTCCAAGCATGCAATTAAATATCGTACCAATGTTTGTGATTAAAGTTATTGAATTTGGAGTATTCGGTCGCGACTGATGTACTCTTATGTGTCACATATTGAAAGGTATTAATAAACAATTGAGGCAACAAGTGCTACACTCTCTCTCTCTCTCTCTCTCTCTCTCTCTCTAATAAATGTTGAAAATTATACACACACACATACACACACACACACACACACACACTCACACGCACACAATACATATATAAGAATATAAGAATATATAAGAATATAAGAATATTTATACAAGTGTTACTGCTCTATTCGATGAAAGTTAAAATATTGAGAAATCGACTTTGTTGCTAACATTCAGCTGAAAAATTATAGTTTTCTAAGGAATTAGAAAACTCTTGCTTCTGAGCCCCACATAATCCTTAATTATTGCATCAGTATGGAATATATCAACGACGATGGAGGAACCTATCAAAACTGATAAACGAGACACGAAAGAATTGACTCACCTGATGGAATTGCTTCTGTTCAATCTGGGCGGCGCCGGAGATCCCGTGGAGTCCCTTTGATGCATCAGAAGACGAGCATGCGTCAGACTCGCGCGATGCGAACCCAGTGATTCCACGCTGTCCGCCTCGCACAGACCCATCCCTGAAAGAAATGGTCATAGTCTCGAGATAATGACAAAGGAAATGACGGCAATGACACCGAGTCCACACCGAACTGAACGTGATTGGACGCAAAATTACCTTGCGATCGTCCGCTGGGTGTGTAGGTGTTGCTGTGTCTCATCCAAGAGGTGGTGTAAGGACTGCTGGACGTGTAGTAGCCCTGAAGATCAGGCGCGGCGTAATTGCTGCACGTGTCGCTGAGACTACCGTCGGACGGTTTGAGCACCCGGGGTGAGAAGGACGCGCTCGTCGGTCCAGCGCCGGCTCCTCGCTCGCGATGATGAGCAGCCGCGAAGAGAGCGGTAAATTCCGGACTGCCGGGCTTGGGCAGACTCTGGGAGCCCAGCATGAGACGATCGCGAACCGACTGCGAGAGCTGGCTGGCGCTGGGACCGGTGAGACTGTAGCTCTTATAGTGGTGACCTTGACTGGACGCCGCCGACGAGTTTGCCTGCAACTCTGTGGTGCAAGTCTGGGTACCGCCGGATACTTTGACCTGCGCTCAAGAGTGCCACGTGCGAATTAGCGGTTCGATCGAAAGAGCAAGATTATAATCGTATAACTTTCAACACCACCTTGGTCCTCGGCACCGCGCTGACCTGGGCCGTTCTAGTCGCGTCTTTGCCGCCATTCTGAACCCCGTTGGGACTCGGAGTGGTGCCGGCGCTGTGTCTTTTCACGTAGCCAAAACTTTGCGGTACCCCGCGAACCTTACTGCTGCTACCGCTGCTGGTCGACGTGCCCGATGAAACTTTCTGCGGTTTCTCGCCGTTCGCATATTCGGCCATGGCCTGCTTCCGATGTTTATCCTGCGTTTGTGTGCAACGCAAACGGTTATCGCGCGGTTGTTCCGTTAATATTCCGTATCATATTATTCGAGCAGTTCGACAATTCCCGACTGATCTCACCTGCGATCTTCTGGAGGGACTAGGGCTCGGGGGTGCTCCCTCCTTGTCTCTCTCGCGATCTCTCGCGGCGCCGGCCTCGATATATTTCTTCCATTGCTGGCTGTTGGAACTGCTCGAGCCTTGCTGCTGTTGCTGCTGCTGTTGCTGCTGCTGCTGCTGCTGCTGCTGCTGATGCTGCTGATGCTGCTGCTGCTGCTGGTGTTTGAAGGCCGAGCTCTCAGTTTGCTGAGAGCTGTCAGACTTCTTCACGTGGGGGTGATGACCTGGATGTCGCGAGCTCACCACACGGTACACCAGGTTGTGATTACCTTGCTGCACCCCTTGGGGGGTGGCCGATCCTCCGCCACCCCCCACGATTACGCCCCCTCCACCCGGCACCCTCTGTTTTTCACAACAAGATTAATAATTGCGTTAATCACGTACATGAATTACACGTACCATGTGTGTATGCACGCGTGCGCGTAAATCTATATATACCGTATCTCTTCTCGGTAGCGCAACTATGGTACCACCAACTACGAGGTGCAACTTTTGTATGCGAATTTCGTCACGTATAACATTATTATAATCGTGCTTAAAATCGTGATTATAATTTCGCGAGATTTTTTATTCGTGGTTAATTTTTATATATATATATATATGTATATATATATATATATACACACGAGATATACACCATTTGCCCCAAAGTTGCCGTCAAAATCCAAAGCTGACGTTTGTTCTGCTCAACCGCCGTGTATCCTGACTATCGAGGACTTTTAGGATGGCAGGGTGATATCGATTCTTGGTGTACTTGGCGAAAGACAGAACGCTACACGGAGCACAGGCGCCGACGCGACGCGACGCGACGCGACGCGACGCGACGCGATGCGTCGGGAAGGCAACTTTCACCGCCATTCTCGTTGTCTAGAACGTCTATTCTTAACTCCTTCTCCTTCCTTTCGTGATATCATGCCCATCGTAAGGAGTAAAGAGTAAAGAGTAAAGATTGCACAAATGGAATATTTACCAGTACATGATATATACGTTAATGTAAGAGTAAAGATTCGAAAAATATACTTTTGGGAAAGCCTCCAGAGTGCAGAATAAAAACCGCGATGAAATGTACGATGAAACATGGTCGAGACGAAACACGGGTGTGTGTTCTCTGCCTTCGTCTATTTCCACGTGGAACCACGTGGAACAACGAGTGTGTGACTCACAAGAGGGTGGAAACAGGAAGGTTTCCTCGAGTTTTTACGGCGAGGATCGTAAACGTATGGTAGGGAGGCAATAAACGAGAGACAAAGGATCCGCCCTGGTCAAAAACACATTTTTTTCCCCTTCTTTCTAGTTCTTTGTAAAAGGGCACACCTACTGCACTAGCGTGCAGCATACAGTCCTTTCTATTTAAAAATGTATCTTTCCATCCGAGAGGAAAGAGTTCTCTCTCAGTACTGCGCGATATTATTTATTCAATTAAAGAAGACTCAACCTCCAACTTTCTAAGAAACATCGTCACATTTATACATGTGCTACATTAAATTTGGCCCGGAGAGTCTATACATAACGATTCCAACGCTCGACATTTTGTCAGATTTATCTCTGTTGTTGTTCTATTTTCTATACACGACGAATCGCGTTTGCTATCCGCTTTTCTTCCTCTCTGCGTTCTTTTATGTCGCTCTTTTATATCGAAAGCTACACACACACACACACACACACACACACACACTGCGCCCCACGGCTCCGCAATGAACCTTTAGGCAAGAAAAATAGCAAACACAGTGTGGTATCTTTGAAGTACGCGAACCGGCCGCGAGAGTTTAAACAAACGGCTCGCCTCTTCCGAGTAGGTGATTCCCCGAGACTCTTTCGCCGCAAGACTAAAGTTTATTTTCCGAAATCCTCGTCGTGAAAACACGGCATTTTTTGGCGTTTGTAAACGCGGACCATCGCAAAGCGGCACGTCGCCTCGAGTGCCGTCCGAGGGGATGATATCGATTAGTCATCCCGAGGATGACTGTATTCGAACAAAGAACCGCGACAGAACCGCGCGTTGTTGTGTGACTGCGTGACTTGCTTATATATTGTTGTTGAACATGGGAGAAAACTGTGCACGTACAACCCGACCTTCTTCCGAATACTCGGAATTTAAGACGCTATCAATAAAGATATAAAGGGATGGGCGAAATTATCGATCACCAATCAAGAGTGTGAGTTTTCGATTCGAAGAAATTACTCACCATGGTTTCCCTCCCTCCATGAATCGCTTTCTAGTCGTTTCTCGTGAAACGTTTATTTCCTCCATCTCTCGCAAATTATTCGCAATCAAGTGAAAACTCGGCATTAAACATCATAATGGGATATCTCTTTCTTCAATTTCCATCAAATTAATAAAGATCAAATTAATAGAGATTTTAAATAACATCTCGCGCGAGGTTTTGCTTTCTGGTTCGACTCGTCGCATCAGCTTTTCGATCATCTTCCATCGTGTACAACCACCGCAAAAGGTGGAAATTGTTGATCAGTGCTCGCATCGCGGAATTAGCATGTCGTGGCTAATCGATCGGCGATCGCTGCTTCGAGGGTCCAAACCGCAGTCACGAAACACCTGAGTAAGCGCGCGTAGCCGATTGTGTAGTATGCGTGTAGTAACCAGCAACGGGGACCTATTACGCGGTTTTCCCCATGAGGAAATTGGGAATGCTCCTGTCAACAACGCCCTTCGATTCCTCCCGCGGCAATTTCGAGTCCCGTTTCGACTCCAAACAAACACACGTTAGCTCGACGATATTTGTATATCGAAACATTAAGCGCACCAATCGCCAACCAATGTTTCATCTCTTATGAGCAATTTCTCCAAGCGGTTAACAAGTTTCAAGTTTCTTTCTTCTTCTTCTTCTTCTTCTTCTTCTTCTTCTTCTTCTTCTTCTTCTCCTCCTCCTCCTCAACTCATCGATTGTGCACAGATCGAAAAGAAAATTTTGAGGAATACTTTCTTTTTTAATCAATCTTGTCACCTTTCTAATACCTTTATCGTATCAGAGGTTAATACGACACACATTAAACATCACCAATTAATATCTCTTACGCACGTATGCGCGTGTATGCGCATACTTTTCTTTTTGTATCTTTTACATAATGTACCACCCGACAGTTTACACTGTTCCTCTTCACCTCAGGGGGTTCAGGTAAACCCTACTCATTATTTTCTCTGTTGCAAAGATATGCGCACTGTATTAATTCGCCAACTACAATATACAGATATCGTGGACGACTTGATTTCGCTCGCGGGACACGCGAGAGGGTGGCGTTTCATCAGCCCGCCCAAGGTCTTCGACGTGCGCGTTTTACGTAGTTGTTACGTAGGTAGGTAGGTAGGTAGGTATACGAGGCGCCCGAACGTTAACCGTCGACTGCGAGGGTCGACGATTCATTGCTCACCGGCTCTCTCGCCCCCACTTTGGCCGCACCGTGTAATATCACTAACGTGAGTTACCCCTCCCGAATATTACACCCGTTCCCCCGTACAGAGTGCTGCAAAAGTAAACGGCGCGACAGAAGCCAAGTGAATCGCCACTTTTCGGCGATCAAAATTGTCACGCTGTGAAATGTCGGATTTCATTCGATCGGGTCAAAAATAGATTTAATCTCGTGGACAAAATGCGTGGAACAAATGCGCGAGTCTGCTGCTGCTGCTGCTGCTCGCGATTTTTAAATCACCGTTTGATCGGCTTGATCTCCTGTGCATCCGAAAGGAGAGAACTACCGCGCGTCACCCTGGTGGTCGGTGATAAGGTCGGTGCCCCATACAAGACTTCGGTCCCCTTGCGCGCGTTTCGTCTCATTCCGTTCTTCGTAGAGGGCTTCCGAGAAGGATTATTGCGCACGGTAACCGATACCTCTCACGGCTCATGTACTCATGGCATGGCCTTGCAAGACACGCAGTTGATGCGTGTCTTCAACATCAGCGGATTAAAGAGACGATTACATATAAGATATAAGAATGCCAAGACAAAGTAGCCGGACAAAAGAATGTGTCTGTATCTTTTTAAACTACTCTTTATTAGTTTCGCAATCAATTGACATTGATGGATGGATTGTTCGTTCGAATCTTGCAAGAGGAGCAGCGCGCTGAGCAGCGCGATTGCTGCTACTTTTGCGCAAGCTTATCGATTACCCGAACAACCCCGAATCTCATACGGACGCACAAACATTTCATCAATGACGACTGTTTACGAATTTGATTGCCGTCAATACGTATCCACGGATGGTATCGCATGGGTGGTGGCCCATCGAACGGGGAGTTCGAGATGAGCAAAGGGGAAAGAAAATTACGGTGTGCAGAGAGGCATCGGTTATTATTTCATTATAATAATCGTCGTTAAAAGGGATACGTTTATATAATATATATATATATATATCTCGACCATTGACTTCAAAGCCGATTAAAATGGCCGATTTGCGGACGCGTAATGCACGAATTCACGGATAATTAATAGGCTGGCTCAACTGAAAGGGGTTATCGTGCGCAGCCTATCGGCAAAAAGGGTGCTCATTAGCTCGGCCATCTCTACGAGAAGGATTAATTGAACGAAAGCTGATCATCCACAATCCACCGGAAGGAAATCTTCTTCGGGAAGCAAAATGAAGCCGGCAGACGGCGGCTTTATATCTCGGCGTACTCTTATCCTTTCGATGGAGCTAATTTTATAATCTCGTTAAGACAATGGGGAAAAATGAGTAACTGCCCGTGGATATTATAATAATAACAGAGCGCGGGAGAGGATGAAACGAAAAAGTGCTCCGTGATCCGCAGTGACTCGCCGCAGTGATGAAAAAAAATTGTCTTCACGATGGATGGAACATCCAGTAGTACTTGTACGACAGCTGTGCGATGCAACAGCTGACGCGCGCACACACGCTCCATGCTTAGTGACTGTGCGCCGTGTGTATACGTGTGTACTTGTGAGGTCATACCCAGTGCACACACATCGCACGAACTCTCGCGATTGTACAACACGTCGTTCGAGCGTTAATTAAGAATTACTTTGATCGATCGGCAATATTGCAGCCAAAGCGAAAGAATTATTCAATCGCTTTGCTTCGAATAATCCGGAGGGAGGGAGAAACGATCGATATCTACGCTAAAAGTTAAAATGTTGAAAAATTGGTCCATTTCTTGCAAATTCTTGCAAATCAGAATCTGGTAAAAAAGGAATAAGTTTCTCTTCTCTTTCATCGAGTTTTCATCCGAGATATTAGATTAGATACAGATTTGCCGTTTCACAAAGAACGATCGAATCACTAGTTATTTGTACGATTGACCTGTATCGACGCGTGAACACACATTCGTCGACCACCGTCGACCGACCGTCGTCAATTATCTCACCGACGGTCTCTGTAATTATTCAGGATATAGTCCAGGCGACTGCCAGTGTTGATCCCTCTGGCTCTGGCTACCTAACGCTTTTGCTTACCGATGCCATTCTGGCACGGCAGTTGGCAGTATATTTTCAGTACAATAAGTTTAGCAACACAGCTATAATACATTTTACAGCGATACAACAAAAGATATAAAAAATGAATTTTTGGAGAAGAAGCATAATTCAAAACTCAAACTCCAAACTTGCTCGTTTGGCTCGAATAGAATGAACACGCGTCGCGACGCTTGCCTCTTTAAGGCTCGAGAACCTCTTTGGAATTGTATTCGATACCCCTTTCGGACTCTAGGCAGCCTCCTTTGCGATTACAAGGATTACGTTTAAAGGGAAAACAAGAAAGAATAAACCTATTCTAATGATAACGAAACTAGAGAAATTGACGGTTGTCGGTTCTCTGAGCAACAACGATTTGCGTAAGCTTCTCGGGTTCGAGGATGCAAAACATCTGCCAGACACGGAAACGAGGATCATCAAATCAAAGCAAACAACATCGGAACAATTAGCTTCAAATGTGATTATGTCGATCGGCGATCGGAGAAAGAATGAAATAAACGTTATTTCCGGATGCGCGTCTCACGGTTTCGTCTCTCTCTCTTTCTCGCAACACACGCGAGTGCGCGCGCGCGCGCGACCGCGCTATCGATTCTGGTGAGAGTTCGCTGACCTTGTGATGAGAGGGATGTCCCGTGTGATTGGCGGAGGTGTGATTTCCGGCGGGAATGGAGGCCAGCTCCTCGATCGTGAGTTCCGCCAAAGCGTCGTTCCCGCCGCTACAGCCGCCTAGAAGACTGCCGGCGACGACGACGACGCCGCCGCCGCCGCCGCCGCCGCTTCCAGGACTGACGCCCCCAACACCCCCGATGCCAACACCACCACCGCCATCCGACCTCGCGACCCCCGCCGACGGCCTCTTCTGCACCCGCCTCGAGGTCACCAGTTCCTTCACCCCCGACAGCTCTCGCCGCGAACCGCCCACGTACCTACGAACGTAAATCAGGCGTCGCCATTATTATTATCCAAATCGCAATCTAATTACGGCTCGATACGATGGCTGTTTTTATTCGCCTCGGTTGCTCAGTCTTCAGGCTCGCACTCGCGGCTTACGTGAAGTGACGTGGAGATATTCGATGAAACTTTCAATTTTAAACGCTTGGTCCTTTTCTCTCTACCGCGCGTATCGTCGTTGTTCACTGCTTGCAAATTTTGGAAAATAATAATTTGGGATAATTTGATCGATACTTGCGATACTTGCGATGCAGATTAAAACCGGCAAGCAGACTTGGTGTAAAACCGGACCGGTAAGATTTGTTCGAATCAGGCACACTAAAAGTGACGATTTTATTTTACCGCGACTTAGCTTATAGCTGATTTCTCTTCTTGTGAAATTTATATCAGCGCTGCGTGCTATCAGTTTCCTATTACTTGAGCAATTACAGAGCGGAAATTTGTTCGTCATAACCTCTATCTCTTTCTCGTTTTCAAATCGTTTTCAAATCGATTTCAAATGATATTTCCGTCCAAGTTTAAACGGCATGAAAAATTTCAAACCTGGATTAATTTATGCCTGGTGTAATGGAGTTGATGGAGAAATAATGCACGATAATAATAATAATAATGAACGAGTTAATTGTAGGTAAACTTGCTTGAATGTGATGCAACGATACATATCTTTACAGCTATACGAAGAGATCGCTTCTTTTCTTTTCGAAGCAACGTTTCTCGAACGATCGTTATTTCGAACATTTATTTCCGCTACTGTGACCGATTATCCTGTTTCGAGACAATCACCGGTCGAAGAAGAAGGGCCGACGTAAACTCGATCGTGCAGCAAGAAGAGTACGCGCGAGTAGCGCAATGACGAGGAAGCGAATACGACAATTTTATTCGACGATCGGATTTATCACGGGTACAATCAGTGCGACAAAATTACTTTTTTAACGCGCCGTGCTGCACAATTGGCGCAGAGGTGTGTGTTCTCTCTGCATGTGATTCACGATGCGATAACGATTGTTAATCCTTCGCTCAAAAAGAGAGTAGGAAGGACAGCGCGAGAGGGAGAGAGGGAGGAGCCGCTTTGGCGCGACTCGCCGCTGAAAATCGCTCGTGCATGTTTCTCACGCATTTGTTTATATCGGGCTCCCTCGCATATCCGTGCGTCGTTGCAATATTTTGCTTGTTACTTCGAGCTTTTCCATCGAGTATGTATCAGCGCAGAATATAGGAAAAAAAATATATGCAGTTTGCGACGCGCACAGAGAGAAGTAAGATAACGTATAGATTTCTAAAATAAGAAACGTGTGCTGCAGTTGTGTGTTAAATTCATGATAAGACGTTGATTGACTTAAGATGGACGAGACGCAAGTACTGTATGGGAAACCACGTATGTTTCCCGAGAAAAGGGTCAGACACGTCGATGCGTCGGAAAAGATAATAAACACGTTCACGAGGAAGCTTGAGCTTGATTTTACAGCGAGCTTTATAGATTTATCCGGCACGTGCCTTTTTAGGTGACGGTCGTTATTTTAACTACCCTTACGGCGGCCGAGCGGGCTTTAATGCGCCTCGTAAAAAAACGCGCTTAACCCCCGGCGCGTTGGACCCGGACTGATTCATGAGCTCGACGTCTCGAGAAACTAAACTAAACGGCCGAGTGAAATTTCGGTATTTAGAGCGCGCGCGTCAAGAAAGAACAGCGTTAAGACGCGTCGTCTCATAATTGCCGAAACCTAGTTAATTTTAACGGTTGGCGAGAAGAGATTCTTTAATCTTTCCTTCTAATATAATTTTATCAGTACTCTAGTAAATTTCCCAATTCCTTGAAATTTTTGCGCTAATATTTGGTATCGTCCCAAGTAAACGTCAATCTCGCTCAGTATCTCTGAAACTGTAAATTGGGTTGCCACTTTATTTTACACACGATACACACACACACACACACACACACACACTCTCTCTCTCTCTCTCTCTCTCGCGCGCGCGCGCGCGCGCGGTGATAATGACAGCGCAAGGACGTTTTCCTTCCAACCACGCTAACTCGCGGAATGTCTTTTGCTTCTCTCGTGATCAATGAGTTCGTTGATTACTTTGTGTGGATTAAATATTTGCGAAAAGTCTGAACGACGGCAAAATAGCAACGGTAACTTTTCAACACGCTTGACTATTTGATTCTTGTAGGACTGTGAGTTCGAAAAATTTGGCCGTCGTTTCTCAATCTCATCGTTTGTTGTAACTACAAGTTGTGATTACAAGGACAATTTTAGTCGATGCGAAAATTAAAAAGTTACGACGAAAAATACGGGAGAAATTTGTGAGAAGAAAATCTCACCAAAGTCGCAAATTGTAAACTGCGAGAGAATAAAATTCTCGTCCTTTCAGAACATTTTTTCGAGTCGTGTTTCAATTGTACTTGATATCACACGTGCTTCATTTAATTCGTCAATTTGTCAATTAATCGTCGTTAATCACCAGAGAAAAAAGATCTTTTTGTATTTTTTGATGTCGAAACAGAGAGAGAGAGAGAGAGAGAGAGAGAGAGAGAGAGAGAGAGAGAGAGAAAGAGAGGGGGGGGAGTGAGTACTATTTGCGACATGTTGCAACACTTGACATTGCGATGGACGTAAACTTCATTCAGTCATAACTTGAAGCGAACTTGAAGTCCAACTTTGTGAAGCGATATTGGTGTTCTCGTATTGCGCGATACGCGAGATACGGCGGAGAAGAGGAAAGGACAAAGCGGGGAAGATGGTAGAGTCTGTGCAGTTATTCAAAGTTATCGTGAAATTCACAGCCAACAGCCAAACAGATAGATCTTGCGAATGTGATCGCGACAATACGTATCTATATATTTCAACTTTAATTTCATCCTCAAAGTGTGATCAGATTCAGACGCTTGTTCTTTGTCTTGTCGCAAGTAAATGTTAATTTTTGTAGGAATGTACTTAAATTTGAGACGAAAAAATGAGACTCGATTGGAGAAAAAGGCTCAATCCCCAAAACAGCAAACAGCAAAGCAAACGAAATTGAAGTCGTGTGAGTTGAATCGATCGCAAGGTTGACCCTTTTGAAGATCTCCCTTTTGTCTGACGAGGTAAGTAAAATTTCGTTACGAAATCGCGATGGCTACATTTGTACGCCTAAACTGGATCGGCCGCGGATCTTGGAAGAGAGCAAGAGGCACTCCTCTCTCTCCCTCTCTCTCTCTCTCTCTCTCTCTCTCTCTCTGTCTCTCTCTCTTTCGCTTTTCCATTCGTCCACCCATAGCCCACATTTGCGGAATCGGACGATTTATTCAACGACAAGCTTCGGACAATAGAGACACGAAATTACCGTTCAACTCGTGTCGCCGCGCTCCTTCCAGTGGACTCTGTACACCCTCTCAGGGTGCGAGAGCCGTCTTCCACTCTCGACACAGGACACACTATTACACTGTACACCGAAAAACTAGCCTGAGACGAGGGCTCGAGGAGAAACGGGCTTATCAGGTGCAAACCTGTCGACGACGAGGACGAGGACGAGAGCGACGACGACGACGACGACGACGACGACAACGACGACGATGACGACGACGACGACGACGACAGCGACGACGACAACGACGACGACGACGACGACGACGACGACGACGTCGTGGACGACACTCCCCACCCTTGGCACGGTACGTACTCTCCTGCTTGCTTCGTCGAAGCGACCCCCTCGAGCCGCCCTCGAGATAGCGCGCCGACGCCGGCAGGTCGCACCACCGTGCGCGACGCCGTCGGATCGATCGTTGTGACGTCATGACGCCCACGCAAGCGTCGCGGATAATATCGTCTTTTGCCTTTCTCACGTAGGAATTCATCAGGAGAAATAAATACATCTCAGATCGCAGATCCGCAAAGATTTTTTTTTAATTATACGAAATTGTCGCGACGCACGATTGAAGAATCGACGGCAAGGTGCATTCGCACGGCAAAACAGATGCTGCGCATAGTGCGTCCTGCGATATCTTTGTCGAATATTCTTCCTTCAGCCGTGTATATGCTCGGGAATAAGAGAGTGATGTGCAACTATATATAGAATTTCTAAGATGTATATCGAAGGATCGATACGCAGGAAATTTGCCATTTTGTCAATTGTGCATTTAAACGTAAACACAGACAAACAGACACACACTGCTCGCGAGCTTTTTAGCTAAGGAATTTCTAGTTGACGAAATATATACTCTCGATTGACTTGAATATTTGTAATCCAACTACTGCATCTATAAGACAGTTCCAGGACAATTAGCATTTCACTTTTACTCTACGATGCGCTATCAAGCGCACGTGTTCATCTGACACATGTGCCGGCCGCTCGCACATCGAGTCTCGCCAGATGCACCGCAACAACATCTCTCGTCTCGCCTCGCCTCGCCTCGCCTCGCCTCGCCTCGCCTCGCCCCGCCTCGCCCCGCCTCGTCGCGAGGGTGAGGAAAAGCGACGTGTCGAGTTGTATACACCGCGAGGAGAGGAATCACAGGATCACAATGGTGGAAGCTGCTGTCAGAACGCGGACAAAGGCGCTTATCTTTCTGCACACATTACGCTCTAGCGCAACATCGCACCGCGCGAACATTCGCCTTCTTCTTCGTTCGCGTGGTAAATTCACTTCTCGCTCCGGTAATGCGCGTTGCTTTCGCTCAAGAACAGTCGAAAGAGCGATGGTAGCGTAAAAATATTTTGCAACAACAATTAATTTTCAGTCAACGTATTCGGTTGACTTCAAGTCACTACTACCGTGCGAAAGAAACATACATAGAAATACGTAGAATATCATGAAGAAAAAAAAAAAAACGAATGCAAAATGCGATCACTTGGAATCACATCGACCGATATAATATTGCCGCGTATTCCGTTTTAAATACATTTGGATTTATTAGCTGGCAGCGAGAGGGAAGGGGAGCTTTCGCGGGATTCGCAAGGGTCCGCGGTAAACGTTGAAATATGCCGAGCGTCTTTGTTGCAGGCTCTATACGGTTTTCCTCGATGATGGCGATGGGGGTCGTGAAAGGGTCTCGACCGAGTATATTGAATTTCCGAAAAGCGCGTTGGGTTTCGAGCCGAGGGATGATACACCGCGTCCCCGCCGATTATGCCGAGCTAGTTGGGCGAGGGGCCCGGGTTCGGTTGTCGGCCCTCCGGCGCGTTTCCGCAGCGCGTCACGACAAACAACACTCTGCGCATATGATATTTGCGATAGCAATAAAAGCCTGGAAAAGTCTCCGTTAATAATTCGACACACTGGTTGCAGCTAGTCCAAATGAGCCTGCGAGATGTATACATGCGTGCACAAAGTGCAAAGTGCTAGGTTTCCTTTTGCATAGAAAGACGATTTTGATCTTCCATATTATCAATCCCCAACACACACACACACACACACACGCACGCACGCACACACATGTGTTGGGAGGAAAAGCTCGCGAAAGCTCGCGAAAACATGCGCAACTTCCCATTTTATTACAATAATCGCCCTTCGAAATCGTAAAATTTGGATTCGGAAAGAAGCTTATTCATTTGCTGTTGTGCTTGTCCGTCGGAAAACGTCAGAAAACGGCGAATGTTTGCGGAGAAACGCTCAGATAGAATCGCTTTCGCGGATTAATCGGCCGGCCACGCTTTAATTCAATCGCGGCGAAAGAGGACCGCTCAGCGCTGTGAGTAATCGGACGCGCGCCCGGAATTAACCCTGCGAATTTCGCCTAATTAGAGACCTAGTTAGAGCACGTAGCGGTCGTAACTTTTCTCCCCATGAGTCCCGTGAGCAAGGTGATTTTCGCTAGCAAGTACGTGATTCGAAATATCGGCCTCGCAAACAGTCAAATTTGTTTGGCGAGTGGGATGGACTGAGTAGAAGCTTGAGTAGTCAAACAGACGCAAGCAGTATCGAAACTAGAGATTAGAGATAGACGAAGGCGAAGCCAGAGTAAAGGTTCTTCGCGGAAGCCACCTCGTGTATCGATCCATGCGCGGATTTTTAGCCTGTCGTTCCAACTCGGCAAAGATGACGGGTTCTTCACCGAAAAGCTCGCGCGAAGCTCGGCCGGTCCCCGAGCTTTCTTGATCAATACTCGCGGCGTGCTCGCGACGTCGCCCACGCGCTAATTTATCGTCATTCTCTCTCTCTCTCTCTCTCTCTCTCTCTCTCTCTCTCTCGCTTTTATCCGATAAAAAGTGATTCGACAATCTGAACTTACGCGACGCGACGCGACGCGACGCCGTGCGTGCTGCGATCGATACGTCGCGTCGATGGACCAACGGTTCAACTGCAAAAAAGAATCTTCTCCCGGCAACGGGAAGGATCTATCTATTATATGATATTTCTATACTACGTACGTCGTCGTACGTAGACGCAGCAAGTTCCCTTCCAGTCCCAGTCCAGATAATCATGATCATGTTGATAGCTGTTACGATATCGTGTCAGGTATTATTAATCAAGGAGTCAACATTGACTTAGACTTTTGTTGGTTTCGCGTGTTGGTTCAGTTGGTTCGGAACCTTTGAATAATATCGAGAGGCATAAGCCTAAGCTTTAATGGGTCGCGCGACACTTTGCAAATTTTGTAGAAAGAAACAACATGAAAACTATCAAGTCAAGCTCCAGTCAAGCTGATGGACTTACCGGTCGTGCTCGTGGCTGTAGGAAGGATTGATCCTACGTGCGTACAAAGATGCACCGCCCTCGGACATGTATCCGTCGCACAAATCCGACAGTGTCCTGTTGCCGACGTTCATGCCGCCTCCACGTAGCACCTCGCCGTCGCTCAAGTAGCCAGAAGCGACGTCTACATCGGCGTAATCGTGATGGCCGACGACGTGGTGATGCGACGACGAGTGCAAAACGGTGTATTGCCTGGCCGTGCTGGTGCGACTCGGTAAGGTCTGCAAGCCGCGGGCACCGGGTGTGTAGCCGCGCAGAAGAGGTTGCATGGGCTTCACCGTCATCTCGGCCTCGTCGTCCGCCAGAGACCCACCGCAGGTCGAGCTTTCCGACAGGACCTTCTCCATCCGTTCGAACGTGGTGTCGATCTTCCGATTGGGTATCGTCTTGATCTCGCTACCGCTCTCGCTGCTAGGTCTATAAATTACGCTGCTGTCGCTCGAATTGCTCTGACCGGTGCTGTTGGAATTGCTGTGCGAGCTCTCGGACATTAAGTCCGAGATACTCGGCATCGGCGACACCATCGCCACCGTGCTCGGGTCGAGCTTCCGATGGAGAGCGTCGCATTTCGGCTTGCACGGGGTCGGCACGCCGGCCACGCAGCTCTCCTTGGGCGGTTTCGACGTGCCCTTCACCAGAGCGGTGGGCTTGGGAATGCTGGAACCTGGACTGAGCCCACCGGGACCGCTCGGACACGAATTCGAATTCGAATTCGAGGCCTGAAGCGGCTTACCGCTCAGGCCAAAACTCACGCTGAGATTGATGCCGCCGCGCGGAGGACTGACGGCTCTCTCATCGGTATCCGGCTCCGATTTCTCATCGAGCAGCAGTAGCGAATCCGCGGGCGGATCGGCCAGGGAAGTTTTCTTCTCACCGAGAAGTTCGTCCGCGGACTCGATCTCTTCCTCGCGAGTCGTCGCTCTGTCTCGGCTCGACAATTCTCGGACAATCTTGGACGGTGCGCAGAGACCGTCGTCCGGAGCGACGGTCCTCGGCTGACTGTGCTCGGCTTCCGGCTCTTTCCGCTTGGTCCCCGCAGCCACGTCCCTGCAGCCGTCCGACAGATTCGCCCGATTCATCACACTCAGAGTGTGATCCAAGGTGTCATTCTCGCGAGCCGTCATCTCGCTCGGGTCGGACGGCTTGATAATGCCGTTAGTGTTCGCCAGGATGGCCTTGTGCATCATCAGCTCCTTGTTCAAGCCATTCGGGAGCGGTTTCACGCTTTGCGGCTGAATCTGCTTCAGGTCTGCCTGAATCTTTCCCGGTAGTTCCATCTTGGGTCTCGGCGATGGTTTCGTCGGTTCGCTCCTCGCCCCGGCGTTTCTCCCGCTATCCTGAGCGTTCACTTGTCTACCAGGCGGCGTCAAGACGGAAGGATTGATCTTCTGAGGTTGCGCCATCGCAGCAGCAGCAGCAGCAGCCGCCGGTTGCTTCACCGATTGAAGATCCTTTTTGTCACTTGGCAACTTGTTAGCGGTCACCTTGCCGGGAAACCTTCCTCCATCCGTTTGCTCCTGCGAGACGGGATTGTTGTAAGCGGCCGCCGCCGCCGCCGCCGCCGCCGCTGCCGCCGCCGCCGCCGCCGCCGCCGCCGCCGCTGCCGCCGTTAACTTGTCCGTTACGCAACTCGACGGCGCCTTCGTGCGCGCGATCTTGCTCTGGGCCTTGCTCTGTTCCTTCCTGCCTGTTTTCGGACTGGCCTGTTTTGCCGATTTGGCAGCCGACTGTAGCTTCGACTTGAGCGCACGACTCTTGGGCGACTCTTGACAGGTTTGCTGCTGCTGCTGCTGCTGCTGCTGCTGCTGCTGCTGACTCTTGCTCTGATCGCACAACGAGGTCGAACTGTCCGAGTGTTCGGACCGCGCCGACGAGAAGCCGGACGAACTCGACGTGCGTTTCGACGTCCCCCCCGACGAGGCCTTGCCGCGCTCCTGATTCTTCTCCTTGTTGTTGAAGAGCTTGAACTTGTCCAGAACGGAATTTTTGTTGGGTTGCACCGTTCCCGACGCAGCGTTCCCGCTGATATAAGGCGAGGTGGTCTGTTGAGCCCTCGAGCCGTTGCCGTTGCCGCTGCCGCTGCCGCTGCCGCTGCCGCTACCGTTGCCGTTGGGTCGTCCTACCGTGGACGCTCGAGGGCTGCAAAAAAGGACGGTGGGGTGTGTTGACGGTTAACACGCGACGAAGAAATCTTCTCTATCTACCGGCAACGCAGCTCTTTACCTCGGTGTCGTAGCCGCCGGCTGTCGGTTCGTCGAGTTTTGGCTCCTGGGCTGCGGAATGAAGGAGAGACCGCTCTGCTGAGACTGCTGAGACTGCTGCTGACTGGGACTGGTGCTCCTGGAACTGCTCGCGCTGCCCACCCCACCACTTCCGTGTTTCAGACCACCTGAAGCGAAGGCAACCATACCAAGAGAGAGAGAGAGAGAGAGAGAGAAAGAGAGATTATTAATCTCTCGTAAATTTCGTCGAATAACAGATGCAATCTTTGTCGCGCGATACAGTGTCGCGCGATAAGTTTGAAAATTCTTGGAAAATTTCTGCAAAATAACGCTAAGTCGGTAACGACTGTCGTTACTATGTATGTACGATGACTGGCCGTGTCATTAAGCGCACACAGTCGTACGACTGTGCAGCGGCAGCGGCAGCGCCGCCGTGTGCAACGGTGCACTTTGTGCACCGCAGACGAAATAAACCGCGCGCGCGCGTTTAGCGAGAAGACCGAGAGCGAGAAGATTAATCCACACCACCCCCCGCCGTTGCTGCTGCTGCCGCCCGCCGACCGGCTGGCCAACGGCCGATCCGTTTCCGAGAGTAATCGTAGACGTTGTTTCTGTCAAATAATCCGCATCGACGCTGTGCAATTTGAGTGCGAGCTCTTGGAACGTAAATATATCCACGATTAATCATCGAGGCGTATATATACGAGCAGAGTTCGAGAGGCGAGTTCGAGAGGCGAGAGTGAGTATAATCTGCAGAACTTTCAATTCTCGAGTCAACGAACATGGCCGATGGCCGCGACGACACAAATGAATCAGTCATCCGATGAGATTTCCGATGAGAAGAATTCAAGAGTGAACATCCATTTACTATTACTAGCCCCCTCAACTCAAAGTTGCTGAAAATCTTTTCAGCTTCAGTTGTTCCTAAATGGCGCTACAAGTATTATTTTTCGCGTCAACAAATTTGTCGCTAAATGAATTCTCTCAGGCTAGAAATCACGAGCTGATATTCAAAGCGCATTCCTCCCAAATCCTGCAGAATCTTTCGCAGTTGTGATCATTTCGCGCGAATCACAAACGCGAGTTTTGCGAGTTTTGCGCGTGATTGTTCTTCATCAGCGCGTATCATCGCTACCATAGTTTTATTTTATAATAGAACGAGCGCGCGCGCGCGCGCGCACGAATTTATGTACTCAAAGGCGATTCCATTGAAAATGGCTAGTCACGCGGATCGTGTTGTAATAAATTCGATTCCTTTTTTCCAGTGCGCACAAGGGAAGGAGACAAGCGACTTAAGGGAGTTGAAACGTGACCGGGTATTCGGTTGCCTGTCTCTCGACAATGATTCATCACAAGTCACAATCGATCGATCTGACACGTTAATAATGACTGCCACGTGCAAGGAAGAGATGGAAAAGGTAGTATCAAATAAATGTTGCTCTTGGCACTTTGATCGTGCTAATATTCCGTTGATAAAGAAATTCACACGCACACGCACACACACACACACACACACACACGTGCGAGACTTGAGTTACCTTAGCTTGAGATAACCTTAGCTTGGAAAGAATTTTTACGTTAATTTTTGTGTCCATAATTGACAAAATAGTCAATGCACGACAAATTCTTTTCTTTCTCGCGAGAAGGTTCTAATTCATTAATGATCTCTTCAAAGAGGATTTTTTAATTCCATTTGGATGTGCGCGCGTGTTTTATTCATAGGCATTTCCTGGCCTGAGAAAAAAAGAGGATGCTGATTATCTTACCTTATTGAGAAATTTCTTGCGGCGAGATAGACAATCTGCAAACGATGTCCTTTGTGAAAGAAATCTGTTTGAAAGAATGCACTATCTCTGTCTCTATAAAGAACTTTTATCGCGAGAGCCTCTACCAGAACGACCGCACTCGTTTGTTCACTTGACCGGGACTAACGTTCAACGTTCAACTCGCTCTCATGTCCCCTTCATTATTCTCTCATTGCTCCTTCCGCCCGAGATAAGACAATATCGGCCCACGTGAGAATGCAAAAGCGATGGTCAACAGGTTCCCATGACCGATGCACCAGCATGGATTTTGACCGAGTCGTCGATGAAAAGTAAATTATTTATGCAAATAAATAAATAAATTTCAAACGATGAAATATCACTCCAAGATTGATTTTCAACTTGATAATATTTCAACGATTGCACGCATTTACGCGTTTTACGCGTACGTATATCGTATTTATTTCATTCAATGTTCGATCACATCGAAAATGGAAGACAATATTCACTCCGTGTCGCCTAAAAATTTATTCGAAGCTTTTATCACTACGTTTCCGTAGTACCGTAGTACCACAAACCCAAGAGAACGTTTATGCAGCACAAATAAGCGATAAGCGCGATCTTTTCCCGAGCGATATTCAAACGTTGTTAAACACGCGCGGTCATCTCTCTTTCTTTCCTCTTACATCGAGTGTGCGTCACTTCGATTCCCCCTTTTCCTTCACGATCACTTATCGCAACCGAGTCGTTTGTTTCGCAAACAGAAATAAAACGAATAAAGATAATACAAATGTGCGTTCGTCTCGTGACAAAATAAACACTGTGATAATGCAACGAAACGATACAATATAGCGATCGCGCAGAGAGTAACAGTATCGATTGAACGAGAAAGTAAGGCAAGAAATACCTTGTCGAGTGAACATTTTTCGATATTCAAGTTAAAATCAAACTAGAAAATTCATTGATGTTGAAGGCAATTAATCTGTACAATGCTTAGTAATTATATATTATATTCTTACAAATTCACACACACACACACACACACACACACACAGTTGAATCGATAATCGATAATAACAATTGGATCGTTATTATCGTCTTGGGATTAATTACTATCGGATAACGGATTGCGCGGCAGATATCTGTGCTATGCCGAAAAAGATAAGCAGACAGTAGAAAACGAGCGGACGACTGATCAGAGATACGCGGTTCAGGTTTGAATTACGTCTCCGATGTATCCCGAGAAAGAGGCTCTGGTCGAAGATTAGAGGAGCTCTTAGAAGCTTCCTTGGCCTTCATGACTAAGCTCGATCTGGCCTTTCTCGAGGTAAAAGGACCTATCGACTAGCTGTCGAACCGACAGCTGTTGACTCTGACACGCGCGACACGTGTTGTGCATCGTGCGACTGCTTTTTCCTCGGGCTTCCAAGCTGATGGGCACGCGGTGCCTCGCGCGAGGGATGATTCCTTCGTCTCGATTAGGCGATTAGTCGGAAATTAGATTACGATCCTGCGATTATAAGACTGATGTGACGCATCCGTGATAGATAGATAGATAGATAGAAAGCAAACTAGCGAAATATGACACTCGAATCTTAATTCAGAATGAGCACTTTGGGCTGCGGGATGTCCCGGATGACGTTTCCAATTTCCCATTGGCAGTTTTTCGCGACAATCATGAGCGATAACAAACGATTAATATCTCGCGTTATTTCAACAATTGCTTTTCACAATCAAGTGCTTTTCACATCAAGTGCGATCAAGAGATATTGAGGAGTGCATTTTTCAGATAAAAAATAATAATTTCGTCATATAAGAAATAAGGACTATTGCGTCGCACGCCACGTTATACTCCTCTTCGTTGTACTAATATCATTTCAAATGAGAAAGAGAGAACGGAAAAGAAACGAGATTTTCTTACGCGCAAACACAAGCCAGCACAACCAGAGAGAGAGAGAGAGAGAGAGAGAGAGAGAGAGAGAGAGAGAGAGAGAGAGAGAGAGAGAAAGGGAGGACGGGAGGACAAGCTATTACACGTAGTCGTTAACGAAGTTAGTGCCTCGTTCCTTTTATATTGCAGTTGCAAAGTGAGCGTAAAACGAAAGATAGCAACGTATGAGAGAGAGAGAGAGAGAGAGAGAGAGAGAGAGAGAGAGAGAGAGAGAGAGAGAGAGAGAGAGAGAGAGAGAGAGAGGGAGGATACGCGATTAATACGCCTTCGCATACCCACAGAGATAATATCATATAAGAGTGTTTGTCGGGAATGGCAATCGAGAACTCTCGCTTCAATTTCGACTTGTCTCTCACTACTACGGGATTGTTTCTCTTTCACTTTTCAGTTGCTTCACGCACGTGCGTAAAATTAGCGCTTGAGATACATCCCTCACACTGCCTCACCCTCCTGCCCCACCCCTCAGCCTACAACATTCGTGGATCCCCACAGACGTCCCGTGGGATCTACGCAAGTCCCGCAGGTTATGACTCATACGAGCCGCTCTACGTAGACTATCTCAGATGAAAAGCTCTCTTCTCTGTTCGCTCGTCGTTTCGATCCTCTCCTCCCCTGGCGATTCGATGTTTGGCGATGTTTAAGACGGGATTTAAATACACGAGGGATACGAGGGATATCTCCCACAGAAAGGGGTAACCTCTATTATTTCTTAATTCATTTATTCTCCAACACTATTGATTTCCTCCCGGCATGTGTCTCGTTGGAATTAGAAATTTTACAAAAATTAATGATAATGATATGTATATGGTATAACGTCGATATTATAATATCGAGGATAGGAAGGTGAAGCGAAGCGAAGTACAATATGAAAAAACTGAGGAAGATGCAAGGGACGATTTCGAATGCAACCGAGTCGACTCGAGAGATATGAGTCCGGAGAATGCAACGACGACTCATGGGTCGGTGGTAGCGACGTTAGCGAGAGGTCGAGGGCTGGCGGTGACGGCTGAAAATCGTCGGGGGTGGAAAACACCGCGTAGCTGGCATACAAAGGGAGAGTTCTCTCCATCCTTGAACAAAGCGGATTCCTCCCCTCTCGGCGGGATGGGGCGTAAGGTCCTCGCGAGGGGTGAAAATATCCTATGGGCGCGAACCTGCCAATGTCTAGATAACGCACGGATTCGCGAGCATTTGCACTTATCTACAGTGCTTGTCCTTCTCTATCGTCACGACGATATACGACATTATAAATTATCTATGTAGTGTTTCCGCCATTTATAAAGAAATTATTAATTGTAACGAAATTTACGATGCACGATACGCGGTATGATCAACGTAGCGTCAGCTCAATATGACATTATTGCGTCACAGTCCACCCTTTGCCCACCTTTTTCTACCTTTGTATCGCGGTGACGGGGTTTCCACATACGATGCACCATCCATGGCGATACCTCGTGCGTACACATCGTCGACGACGTCGGTATTGCCAATTTAGCGTCGTACGTGCTCGTATGTACCGTATGTACTATACGTACTCGTACAATGTAATTCCAACTTGACAATCGTCAGTCATATCGACAGACAGGGGATTACGAGTCACGACAAGTGCTTATAAATGAGAACAATTGCCGATAGAGTACCAATGTCGAGAAACTAAGCGAAACAACACTATCAGCCATGAATTACAGCTTATGCATGTTGCAATTCAAGTCAATTAAGATGTCATCCTTAACTTTTAAGGATGAAGACTTCAAGATCATCCCCCCCCCCCCCCCGCCACCGCCCCCTCATATTGGCATTTGCTATGCCGACTCTTTAAACGTTCAATTCAGATGACTTGATATATAACGGTATGCTGTTGTAATAATATTTTGTCGCTACGAAACGTCGCAACTAAAGTTATCGGGCCTTAAATTGGACAAAAGAGAAGAGAGAGGGTAGAAGCAAAAAGAAAAAGAGATTCAAGAAAAGTCTTGTGAAAATGAATCATCATGTGTTATAGTAATAACCACAGGTTAATTTATTTATATACTCTCGAGTCATATCTCTCATGGTTCCTCGATCATGCGCGTAATTTTTCGCAAAATATCCACTCGCGTCGCACTTTTTCCGCAAAATTTCCCAAACCTCCCAAACCTCGTTTTCTGTGTCGTGCCATCGTTTTTCTCTCACAATTCTTTCAGACTCAGCTAGCATCCCCCTGCTTCCCTCTGCTTCAAATGACTCTGCTTCAAATGCAACGGCCTCGTCGAGAGTGAGGCAGATTCTGAGAACCTGTACCGAAACCGGTATTCGAATGTGTAGGTGAGTATTTTTAACTCGTACGGAGCTATGAAGGAAGAAGGGAGCAAGAAGAGAAAGATTTAAGGGCCCCTGAAAGTCGACGTTCAGCGGTGCTCAGACAATACATTGTCCGCTAGTGCAAAATTGTAACATCTCATCGGTCCGTTAGTAAAAAAAAAAGAGATATATTTTACCACACACACACACACACACACACACATATATATATATGGTAAAAACATATATTCTTACATTGCCACAAGCAATTAGAAATATTGAATATTTATAAGGTGGAGAGACAGTAAGAATCTAAGAGCGTTTCTGCAACACTCGCGATAGAACAATTCGTTTCTTAGAAATTTGAGAAAAATTCGTCACATTTTTTCAGAGTCATCGCTCTAAGAGCGTTTTTGCAATAAAAATTTAGGTAACTGATAAATCAAATAAAAAATTATCATTTCTCTATCTCTCTCTCTCTCTCTCTCTCTCTCTCTATCTCTCTCTCTCTCTCTCTCTCTCTCTCTCTCGCGTATAAGAATAAGAGTTCTTTTCCGAGGGGAGAGGGACTGAGAATCTCTGAGGCTCGGGTGTTTCGAGGTTAAAGACCGAGTGCAGCAGGTCTTACGTGTGCTCCGCGACTTTAATTTTCTCTCGCTGTCCTCCCCCTTCGTCGCTCTTTCATCACCCTCTGCCGGTGTCCTCTCTTCAACGTCGATCTTTCCGCACTTTCTCTTCCTCTCTTCCGTTTCTTTCTCTTTTCTATCTTTTTTGCACACGTGCATGGGACAAAAGACTGTTTATAACAAAGCTGACGGATAGTGGAAACGGTCTCTCTATCTTTGTTCTTCATTTTCCTTCCTGCTCTCTATCCCTCTTATCACACTCTTTTCTTTTCTCTCTCTCTCTCTCTCTCTTTCTCCTCCTCTCTCTCTCTCTCTCTCTCTCTCTCTCTCTCTCTCCTTTTATCTACTTTCTTCCTTTATTTATCTTCTCTGGTTTTTTCAGAAGATTCCTGTGAGATCATTGAGCTTACACAACAAAAACAGATGTATTTTAAATTGAATTCCGTATAGAATTGAAATTCGACAAATCGTACATTTTCGAAATATTTAAGTTTCAGCTTGCATTGAGTTTGAAATATGTTGCCAAGTAGAATAGAAATTGTTTAACAATTTCGATTTGCTCCTATGCCGCGTTGCCGCGTTGCGGCAGAAGGAACTTCAGGAATAACGTGGTGAATGAGTGTCTGAAATGATCTCGAGTGTGCTATTTACCTAGGCGGATGCGAATTTTTATGCTTTATTGTCTGTAATCTTTCAGGATGTGTTTCCGTAGCACACTTTAACGGTAACTTTTAATACAGGATACCGTATTCTCTTCTCTCGCCCTGAAAATTTCTTCGGGAAGTTCCTCAGAGTATTACGAGGATTGGGTTAAGTTCAAAGCGGAGGAAGATCGATCGATGCGTGAGCGGCATGCGTAATTCCGTCTAAAGCCCGATTGAATTGAAACAAATTAAAACAAACGGTTTACCTAGAAGCTGCAATAACAATATGATAAACGTGCTCCAACGATTAAACTCGTTGAGCGTACATCGCACACATAAACATTTTTTTAAATTGCCAAATATGCATATTGTTAGGAAACATTTGCAGTTTATATAAGAGAAAATAAAGAAAAATAGCAACAACACAACAAAGTTGTTCCAAAGAGTAAAATAAAAAAAATATATATGAATGCGAAGCAATGAAATAAATTTAAAGAAAAGAAAAAAAGAACAACATAGAATGACGGGTGAATTCGGATGTCGTTAACGCGGCATATTCGAAGCGAGTAAATGAATGAATTTGTGGGGATTAAGGAGAAATTGCAACAGACAAGAGACAAAACTTGAATAAAATAGCGTGTGACGAAACGAAGAAACAAGAGACTAAAGAGAGAGAGAGAGAGAGAGAGAGAGAGAGAGAGAGAGAGAGAGAGAGAGAGAGAGAGAGAGAGAGAGAGAGAGAGAATCACATCTCTAATTCGTATCGATCTAGGCCCTGACCTAGACGCCTAGACAAGATTCTCGTCTAGGCCGTCAACTGCGGTGAACGGCAGATATAGCCGAGCGGCAAAAAGGGCTGTCCTAAAATAATATCGTAAAGCATGACGAGCTCGCTTATGCGTGCGCGCACACGCATTATGGCTGGCTAGTTTGTGCACGACGTGGAAGTCTATTTCGAACGGAGAGCGCATTCTGTATCCAGACGGACACGCGCGCTTTGATACGGTCACGATATATAGAGTGTGGTGAAAGAGGGTACAGCATCCCCTTGGAGCTGAGCAGAGGTGCCCAACCGCTTCAACGAGTGATGAAGGGGGTGGTGTGCGGATACTTCCCTTTGCTAAGGGGGCTTGTAATGTAGGTGGAAAACCTTACTACATTACGAGTAGAAAGCGAACGAGGATAATCGAAGAGGAGAACATTGTATCGATAAAGCGTGCGCGTATCGCGCACCAAGCGAACACACACACGCGCGCGCGTACGTGCGAATGTGTTTTGCTAAATATCTTTCTAATATTCGGTTGGCTTCTACTCGCCGGCCGGCCGGCTTCGCGCGCCGGGATGAAAAAGAGAAGGGAAAACAAGGCGAAATTTTCCGAACCGGCGTATGAAGGCATATGAGAGGCTGTAATGTGTAGTGTTTTGTCACCCTCTCTAAGAAGATCGATCTAACCACCATCGAATCGCGGTCGAATCGTGGAGGAGAGGCCTGGTTGAGCACCTCTCGGTAAATCGGGCCGAGTACATCTGGTCCGTACAAGTCCGTGGGAGTTGAGAGTAAAGTATAAACTATAGGGTGCCAGCCCATCCTCGCAAGGATGGCAGACACCCCCCACTCGCCACAGTCTCTCCCCTCAGCCTCCCTTTTGTAGATAGGTAATATTGTCATACGTATGCGAGACGCGCCCCCACCAACGTACGCGAAATCGTTACGTTCGGACAGATACATTCATACTGTACGTATGTATGTATGTATAATTGGTTAATTAATATCTAGCGAGAACCAATGTAATCGAATAGAAGCTGGCTGGAAGACAAAAATTTGTCTTATCGAGAAATACCTGAATTTATGCGCGTCGCACGTAGCGCAAAACTTGAAAGTCGCGCGAAACGATGGCAAGTTGAGGAAATAATCGACGAGACTTACCGAGCTGCGACTGATGCGTCGGTGCCGGAGCCGGTCTGACTTTGTCCGGAGGGCATCTTCTGGTAGCGGCGACAGTCGCGGGCAGGGGTATGCTCGTGCCACCCCCTGGTCCACCTCCAACACCAACGCCAACTCCTGACGATTGCTTGTTGTAGGGCGACGGCAATCTGAAGCAAACGAGACGAGATCCTCACGTCAACTCGTCCAAGTGTCGCAACACTTACACTTTTACCGATAACTACTGTCTGTCTCGTTGCAAACGAGATATACAATGATAATACGACGCTCCGTTCGATCAATGTCGCATCATTGATGCGACAACGGCATCGGCAACGGATTAAACCCGTCCCTATCCCACCCACGCGTGTGGTCGCGCGTTCGGCTTTTGCGAGGAAACGCGAGAGCCCGGGGCTCGCTTATTATCGCGACGTCTGATTAATCTCGCGTTGCACGACGCTCGATAAAGTGTGTAACGCCGGATACGGATACGGTTTCTTATGCGAGCAAATTGCTCACACTCGAATCGAATTTCTCGGTTACGCACACACGTACCGAGTACAGTAATCTGTTCCATGTCACGTGTCTCATTCAGTCCCTGGCTGATGATTTACGATACAGTCAGCGATTCTTTTCGGTTCCATTTCGGTGATCTCGCTCGATGTGCGTTTCATTATAGCGCCGATTTTATTATAGCGTCCAAGCCGGTCGCGCGCGCGCGACCTCCTCGTTTATCGTTCTTACGAACTCCGTTCGTAATCCTCCGGTTGAGAAGTTGATATTTATGCATAAATCTTCATCATCCTCTTGGAAGAGGAGCCAGGAGGATAGGAGACCGCATGGTCGCGCTTGGATCGGCATTTCTCAGGGTATACAAACATATAACGTAATTCAGTTGCAAAGCAAGCGAGCGAGAGAGCCGCTGACTCTCCCCCCCTCGATGCCGTCGATGCCGTCGATGCCTTCGGGCAACAAGAGCGCGGTATTAGGTCGGCGCCGAGTAGCGACGAGATGCGTATCGGTGGGACGACATTCCTTCTAATTGCCGATTGCCGGGCAACCGAAGCGGTGCAATCTTTTCAAACGCGCACCACTCACCGCTCACAGATCCCGTCGTCGATATATAGAAAACGCGTTCTTGGGCGCGCTCTAGCTCTAGCTTTCTTCCTTTCCATAGCGGCTCTACTACGATACTTTGCAAAACCGGTGCCAACCAGTGTGTTACGTTCAATCATGTTAATGTCAACAACTTTATCGTTTCATTGAAACTGAAATATGCGATACCGCGAGAAATGCTCAGTCACACTGCAAAGGATAATGCAAGTGACGATACAAGTTTAGAAATAATACGAGTGAAAAGTATTTGAGAACTGGAGGAGCCGTCGGAGGTGAATTCTCGCGACACTGCCCGACAAGTATTCGGCTAATGTCGCCGTTTCAGAGCTGAGATTCATTTCCGAATCTCATGCAGCGACGGTCTTGAAAAACCACTGTGAGACCCGCGACGGTCTGCACAGGGGTTTGGGTGGGAGAGACGGACGACTGGTCGGCAATTAACATTGGTCAACTTAAAATCAAGAAAGGAAAAAAGCAACAGAAGATCTGTCTGTGGTGGATATGATACCACACAGGTCTGAGAAAAAGGCTGACACACCGCATCGACTCTTGCGAGTATCAATTTCAAAGTGTGAGTTGCAATCAAGTATTATTCGCGATACTTTGATCATTTTCGATAATAATTACATACCTTTTTCATTCACCACGATTGTTGAAATTGTCGCGGCTCGCGCTCCGATATAAATCGCCACAAATTGGCAGTCCGGAGCGAGTACGTCACGCGCGAGCAGTCTCGTTAACAAAGACCAAAACGAAGGGGCAGCTCTCAAACAGGACCACGGGGATAGGGCGGAATGGAACGGATAATTCATTCCGGGTATTACGAGCAATTGTCGGATCTTATTCGAGTAGAAAGAGAGAGTCCACGTTATACACCGAAGCTGAGCGTTTTGTTGCAGCGCGCGAGATAAATTTAGAGAATCGAGAGGGGGGGGAGAGAGAGGAAAGGAGAGGAGAGGAGAGGAGAGGAGAGGAGAGGAGAGGAGAGGAGAGGAGAGAGAGAGAGAGAGAGAGAGAGAGAGAGAGAGAGAGAGAGAAAAGTACTTGACGTTCGTTTCGTGCAAGAACAACGACGAGCTGTTCTTCCCGCGAGGCGATGTTATTATCGTGATTCTTCGACCACCATTTATCGCCGATACGCACGCAAGGACGTGGATTGCGTACCGTTATACGTGGCAAGATCCTTCCATGCCAGAGAGATGCCGTTTCCCTCGGTTGTTCGCATCATCGATCATACATCGTGTAGTATATTGACACAACACGTAATAATTACATTAATCCGGTATTTAATTGTATCGTGAGCGTATACTCGCAATGCGAGTCCTCGGGCCTCACACAATGAGGCTGTGTTGTACGAGCAAGTTTAGAGTTGGGTTGGGCAGAAGGATGTATTATATATACAAGTAAAACAAATCGAGCCGAAAAGATTTGGTTCGGGTTCGCCTTTCGCCTCGCAAGCCGAAACAATCGCGATACATAACGGTTCCGCGATCTCCACCCTGCTGCTCCGCCCAGATGCAACATCTCCGTCGCGCACAATGCCCCATTCTAATTAATCAACGCGTTCGACGAACTTGACGAGTATCTCCTAGGAGAACGCGAGCAAAACGCAGCTCGGTCTCGGTCGGTCGGTCGGTCGGTCGGTCGGTCAGTTCTCAGGGAATGACCGGATCTTCGCTTCGAAAGGAACGCGATCAAACGCCTCTCTTTGTTCGTGGCAAATGCAAAGGTCATTGCTTAATTAAAACATTTCGAAAGGAAATTGCGTGACATGCAATATGCGTGGGGGGGGGGGGATTGCAGGATTGCTGTTAGACTCTACGTCTCTACACACAGGTCAAGTTCCTTGTCACTTTGTCTTTTACGTACGCATCGAAACCGCATTCAATTCGAGTCCGATTGTGATCCGAATCGTTAGATCGCACCGTTTCTCTCTCACGACAACGATTATCATGGCCGTGTGTCTCGTTTCCACTAATGTCAGCACGCGCAGGATTTAGCCCGCGAATCGTGCGATCGCGAAACGCGCCCGAGGATCTATTTCTGCGGTCATTCACATCGAAAACATTGACTCACTCTCGACTCGCGAATGTCTTTGAACTCGTTTGCTAAATAAAGAAAGGAAGAGGGCGAAAGGGAGGAAGACGGAAGAACACTGGGGGCAAATCGAATCGTCCGTCCGTGTAAAGTACAAAGTCGCAAAAATCAATCCAACCAAACGGTAAAACTGTCAATCATTCCAAAATAAAGTCTATTACGATTTCGAGTGCGCGAAGAGTCACGACAGAGCGAAATCGCGAATATCTCGTAATTTACAGAAATCTTGGGAAAAGTTACGCGGCCGTTCGCCGCGCGGCGAGTCGTGTCTAAATTTTATGCACTCATGCGACATTTCGACCGGCTCACGCACAGAACGGACTGGTCAGTGGCTAATTTTCCAGTGCGTTTCCAAAGACGGAAAGAAGAAAAACGATGCGCAGCTTTCTGCGACTCGGTCGATTATTCTTTAAGCTGCTTTAATCAAAGGCTCCTATTCTCCTATACTCTTGATAAGCGCAAAGCGCTTTTGTGCAATTTTGTGTTCCTTCTAGTGTGGTAGGTCCTTTCTTGCGCAAACGATCGCAGCTCTATTCTTCGCGAGAAAAATCGCACCCCGCATGAGAGGCTTTGCAAGATCTTTTGTCGCTAATTTTTTCCATCTCTGTCAAAAGTACCTAGGAATGGCGTCATTAATCGCGAAGACGCGATTGCGTCGTGATCCTCACTCATCGAAATGCCTGTTGGTTTTGCGGCTAAATCAGAGAACATACAGTAATGTACAATGCTACGAAAAACGCGAGAGAGCGAGCGAGCGAGAGAGAGAGAGAGAGAGAGAGAGAGAGAGAGAGGGGGAGAGGGAGTGGGAGGGAGGAAAAGAGAGAGAAAGAAGAGCGACGTGAGTCGGTCGGTCGCCGATCTATATCAAGAATGGAAAAATGCAAAACCAGATCCGCTCGGCCGATCGCCACGGGAGCTCGGGGACCGGTTGGGACATGAATCTCGCTTCGCAGGTCGCGAGTTTCCTCGACACCTCTGAGACCGATCCAACCCGTCGCGGTTGGTCAACGCGACGTGTTCGAATCGCTCAACGGATCTGTTTAGCGAATCTTAGCGACGCGCCTGAGTCTGAGCACTTTCCAAGTGTGAAACATTTGCAAACCGTGTTTGGCGAATTTGCGATTTTTATGCAAGAGTCTTGGAAATTTTGAATTAAGCTTACGCTATTTCATATACTCGTGCTTCTCAATATTCGCTATATGGTTAAAGCCAAGTATCTCTCCGAGCGAGGAGTGCAAAACTTTGCAAATCACACCTAATTGAAGGAGATTGATGCGAGAGAAAAGAGAGAACCTTTAATATCCATCTTTCTCGTCGAAGGACTCGCTCATGTAGCGACAAGCGAGCGCGATCCAGGAAATCCTAAATATATACCGAATAACCGGTTTCTCTCCCTCCCTCTCTTTCTCTCTCACTCTCTCTCTCACTCTCTCTCTCTCTCTCTCTCTCTCTCTCTCTCTCTCTCTCTCTCTCTCTCTCTCTCTCTCTCTCTCTCACTCTCTCTCTCTCTCTCTCTCTCTCTCTCTCTCTCTCTCTCTCTCTCTCTCTCTCTCTCTCTCTCTCTCTCTCTCTCTCTCTCTCTCTCGTCGGCGCATATCGAGATGCAACGATGGAATAAAAACCGAGACGGAATAAAATATAAGAATAGGGATAAATCAGAAGCGAGAAATATATAAATACGAGAATCCCCCATTTACGATAAACGATATACGAATATGTCGCGTGATTCGCGATACAAGCGTAAAAATGAATTTTCTGTGTCTTCATTTTCTTCCTTTTTCCCTTGTGCATATTTATCGAGCAGAAGGTATCGTCTCTGTTTCATCTTTATTGAATATTTCTCCTTCGGTGTTAGATCTAATTTGCAAGCACTGCCTCTAAATTCACGCGTTAATTCGATGGAATATACCGGGATATATATGCCGGGATACCTGTGAGCTTCCGGTGAATTCGGCAA